CTTGCGTGCTGGGAAGTTTAGCAGCCTTGCAGCCCCTTTGAAGATCTTGAACCATGTCTTGGATTTGACATGCTATCTCTCTCTTAGGGCAAAAACCTGGGCTGCTCTCATGTGGCCAGTGGTCCAGCATGAGGACCAGTCGACAGGAGAGATATATTTTGTTTTGAAGGCAGAGTGCCCGGATGGTTCCAGCGTCAAGGCCTGCTGGATTCATTTGTATGAGCCCCAGTATTGGGAAGTCATCGAAACAGAGGCAGTCTTCTGGAATGGCTTCATTTGCCTCCGTCGTTGTGCTACAAGCTCAGTGTCACTTCTATCCTATATGTTGCAGCATCCCAAGTGACATGTTTTCATTTAGGATTCTGTCAACTGTCGACCCATACAGTAAATAGTACAATAAACTTATATAAGTTTTGCTGTGCTTGTTTTTGCTGACTCGACTGAGGGAAATGTCACAAGCATGTCGGACTCTCGCAGACTGCCAGAATCTCGCCGAGCATGTGATCTCCCAGACTGGAAACGTAGACGAAAAAAAGCGAAAGGAGCTGCAACGAATGCGCCGTCCAAAGCTCATGAGCCTGATCGCTTCTCATCACCTTCCGGAAGATGAGGATTTCATGCGCAAAATTGAGGCTATGTATTCGACAGCCAAAGATTCAACAGAGGATGAGGATGAGGATGACATTATCATGGGGGACTTTGTTGATGAGCTGGTTCTTGACGACCTGCTTGCTGAGGACAAACAGGAATTTAAAATGGTCTCAGACGCAGTCAGAAAACGCAGAATCAAAAGGGTGCATCAAACCTGGCAGGCCATCAAGACGCAGCAAGCAAAGGCCAAGGCAAAGGGCAAGGCCAAAGCAAAGACCAAAGCAAAGGCCAAGCCACAGGCCAAACGGAAAGCCAAGAGAAAGATTTGTCGCCCACGTATGTTGCCCAGGAAGCAACCCGCGCCTCCTGATGAAAGTGGTCAAGAGGGAGCAGAAGGCAGAGTGCCAGCACCTCCTGCTGAGGTGCCGGTGGAGCCGGAGCCTGATAATCACGTGGAGGCCGCGGAAGGCAGAGTGCCAGCCCCTCCTGCTGAGATGCCGGAGGTGCCTGCTGCAATCCCTGTCCCAGAGCCTGATGATCACGTGGAGCCCGAGGAAGGCAGAGTGCCAGCCCCTCCTGCTGAGATGCCGGAGGTGCCTGCTGCAATCCCTGTCCCAGAGCCTGATGATCACGTGGAGCCCGAGGAAGGCAGAGTGCCAGCCCCTCCTGCTGAGATGCCGGAGGTGCCTGCAGTGCCTATCCCAGCACTCGAGCCACGGGAGGTTGCAGTCCGTGGCCCCCAACATCAGCGGCGGCCGAACCGTGTTGACTACCAAGGGGTATGGACACCTGTTCAATGCCCGGAGTGTCCCAAGATCGCTGGTGAGATGAAGTACGACCCGAATCCTGGTGGCACTGACAAAGCAAAATGGTTTCTCCGAGTTCGTGTGACAGACGGCGGTCTCTTGGAAAGATTCGGAACATTTGTTATAGCTTCGATGTGGTTGCCTGATCTGCTGTGTGTTGTGTCACATTACATGAACCCATGTGTGTCTGGCATTGAAGGCGAGTGGAGCCACCTCGTACCCTATCACTGGGGACGTGTGGCTTCCAAGATGACAGAAGCGCAGGCCAGACAACACGTCATTGACCATAGGCCCTGTTGTGGCCCGACCAGGAGGCCTGGCAACAACTAGAGGATTCATCCTGCGCTGCAAAGAAAAGTTGTGTGTCTGTCTGTGTGCTTGCATTGATGGCAGCGGGTCCTGCTAGATTGGAATGCGTCCGAGAGACTGTGTGTTTCTGCTTGGGGAAGACGGATTGCGAAAGCATGTTCGCATTTTCACACATGTGGAATTTGTCACGTGCAAGCACATGGACAATCATTTCGAGTGCCACAACCCGGAAGCCGCACAAACTAGCACATGTGGTTTGAAGCCGTGCGTGCTTGTGACTGAACAGTAGCCGTCCAGAGCAATGCATTTCGCCCCGATCGAACGAGGAGAGTGTTTCTTCAGAGGCGAGCTCTCCCCAATCTTGATCAAAACCGCTTGCGAAAAATTGGCCAAAGCGCCTGACCAGTGGAAACCAGCTGAGAGATGGAATGAAGTTTATGACGACGTGCCTTGGGAAATCATGGTTCGCTACCTGCGTTACTGGCCACGTATTGGCTCCCGCATTACAGGAGGCCTCAGGCTTCTTCGACGGTACCAAGGCCCCTTCCCGAAGTGTTATCAGGTGGGTGAAGGAGAAGAACCGCTGGAGTTGCCGCGCGTTTCTCTCGTTTGTGATTTTGTTTATGTTTGGAACGACGAAGATGAACAACAACGGCAGTTTGTCCTTCAGATGAAACACCTCTCACTTGTTGCCATCCGTCTCGGTGGTCCGGGGGAACTTCCTGACCTTGATGCTGGAGCAATACCTTTGACCGACCAGCTTTGTGCAAAGTTGGGGTGGCAATAATTAATGGATCTTGAGGCGGGAAGGCAGAGTGCCAGCAGCTGGGAAGGCAGAGTGCCAGACGTTGTCGCGTCACCCAGCTGTACCCTGCTTCGCCTGCACGTGATTCGCTTGACAGTGTGGTCAACGCAGAAAAGCGCAACATCCAGCAGTTCGTAGCCACTTCACGCGATTTGTGCATCCCTAATACTATCAAACCCTAAAACTATGGCACTCTGCCTTCTAGCCCCAAACCCTAAATACTAAAGACCCTGAAACTCTAACCCTAACCCTTTCATTACCCTCAAACCCTAACACTATGGCACTCTGCCTTCTAACCCCAAACCCTAAATATACTAAAGACCCTGAAACGCTAACCCTAACCCTTTCATTACCCTCAAACCCCTAATACTATGGCACTCTGCCTTCTAACCCCAAACCCTAAATATACTAAAGACCCTGAAACTCTAACCCTAACCCTTTCATTACCCTCAAACCCTAACACTATGGCACTCTGCCTGCTAACCCCAACCCCTAAATACTAAAGACCCTGAAACTCTAACCCTAACCCTTTCATTACCCTCAAACCCCTAATACTATGGCACTCTGCCTTCTAACCCCAAACCCTAAATATACTAAAGACCCTGAAACTCTAACCCTCACCCTTTCATTACCCTCAAACCCCTAATACTATGGCACTCTGCCTTCTAACCCCAAACCCTAAATACTAAAGACCCTGAAACTCTAACCCTAACCCTTTCATTACCCTCAAACCCCTAATACTATGGCACTCTGCCTTCTAACCCCAAACCCTAAATATAATAAAGACCCTGAAACTCTAACCCCAACCCTTTCATTACCCTCAAACCCCTAATACTATGGCACTCTGCCTTCTAACCCCAAACCCTAAATATAATAAAGACCCTGAAACTCTAACCATAACCCTTTCATTACCCTCAAACCCCTAATACTATGGCACTCTGCCTTCTAACCCCAAACCCTAAAGACCCTGAAACTGTAAACCCTGTGCCAGGTCTTCTTCATCCTCGTCTTCTCGGAAAAAAACATTAAAAAATGTAGTTTTTTTTTGTGTGTGTTTTAAAGTTTTTAAAAATTTTTAAAAGTTGTTTAAAGTCTTTAAAAGTCTTTCAAATTCTTTTTAAAGTTTGTAAAAGCTTTTAAAAGCGTTTAAAAGTCTTTTAAAGTCTTTTTAAAGCTTTTAAATGTATTTTAATGTTTTTAAAAATCTTTTAAATATTTTAAAAGCCTTTTAAAGTTTTGAAAAGTCTTTTAAAGTTTGCAAAAGTCTTCTAAAAGTTTCTAAAAGTCTTTTAAAGTCTTCTAAAACTTTTTAGAATGTTTTTTCTTGCATTTGAAAGTTTTTAAAAGTCTGTAAACGTCTTTAGAAGCCAACTCTGTCGAAAAAGCCCTGTGGATCTAAACCTTGTGGTTCTGGTTCGGTGCAAAAGGGCAATGATTAAAGCCGAAACACTAAAACCCCTGGATGCTTGATTTAAATCAAACCGATGTGTCACGATGCAGATTGATCGACCCGGTTTCTGATAGCAAGAACATATCTCAGGTTTTTGCAACAATCGGTAGGAGAATCGCTATTCTGAATTCCGGTTTAAGGGACGGCCACAGACCTGTGCCTCGAGCTTCTGAGTTTCTGATGCGAATGTTCCGATCCCAGCTGTGGAACTAGCCGCAGCTGGGCTATTTGAAATCCTCGGGGTTTGAGTCTACAAATCGTCACGTGCTGTGTAGCTCAGCACGGCTTCTTCTGGAAGGGGCTGCAAGATTCCATAGACCCGGGAATCACGCGTGGGTTCCAACTGTCAAGTCGTGCGGAACGGCATGAAAAGAGATGCCGATGTATGTTGCAAGATCATGAAGAGCAGCGAATGCTTTAGTTTGAAACTCCCCCCCGCAGGTGAGGACTGTGATGGACCAGGTCTTCAAGAATGGTTGGAAAAGATGGGAGATTATGTGTCTCAGCTGGGATAAATATCTTTTTACCCAACTGATCAGCAGTTCTTCAGAATTATGTTCCGGTACCGAGGGCGACAGCGCCCACAGTATTATGGAGTCAGCAAAGACGATGTATGAAGATGCTTGGTTTTCACTGGACATACTAGTTTCATCTTGAAACTTGTTGTTGCGATTCCTGCTTCCAAGGAGAGCAAAGGCAAATGCTCCCGCATGACGAAGGAGCTGGCCAAATTTTCCGGGAAGAACTCCTCCAGAGATTTCTTCAAGACGGTGAATATGCCGCTGGATTCTTCGCTTATAAAATAGGATCGGGGCTTATCGGTTTAAATCTTGGGATTTCAGAATTCATATCTAGACTGCTGCTCTTTGAGAAATTATGGAGGTAATTGGGATGATCTCGCGATAGATTTCAGGGCCTAGATGCTCAGAGCAATCATTTTCAAGATGATGCCCAAATTCTTCTGTCAATATGAAAGGAGCCCACGCTTGTCAAAGTTCCGGTTCTTCCTCAAGGTGTCAATACAACGAGTACTTACGAGATGATGGATATTCCGCTGCTTTACCCGCACGAAGTGTTGCATTATGTCCACTCGGTCGTTGGCCTGACTGTCGACAAGAACGTTGTTCGTCGTTATTGGCAGTTCGCTGCAGCCAAAGGACTTGGTTGGGCTACAAAGCAAACAAATTGGCAAGCAATTCCGATTGGGTTATACGCTGACGAGACAAAGTATGGCCTCCATGAATCACAAGAGAAGGTGCTCGGCATATTTCTGAATTTGGTTTTGTTCAGACCTCGAAGCATACGTTTGAGCAGGTTTCTGATCTGTGCATTCCGTACGACAAAGTTGATGCTGCCCGGCAACAGAACACTTCTTCCAATTTTTGATCGTATTGTTTGGTCTCTGGGTTGGGCCAGCAGGGGTGTCTTCCCTGATCGGGGGATGCATGGAGAGCCTTTGGCGCCAGAGCAAGCGCAGAATGCGGGCAAGCAGTTGGGAGGTGAATTTTTCGTGACGGAGCTAAGAGGGGATCTGGCGTGGCACAAACTGATTTGGGGATTTCCTGATGGTTGGAAGTCCACACGAGTTTGTTTCTTTTGCAATGCTACACAGACCGGTCGCAATCAGCAGATGCTTTACACCAGCACGGGAGAACAAGCGCCGTGGAGAGCGACTATCTACCGAGATGTTCTGACTTGGATGATTGACAAGGTGCCTTTGGACAGCTTGTGTGACTCGATCGTCTTGGTTAAGAGTCTTAGAGTCAAGGAATATCATAAGACTTTTTTCTGAGGTCCGTTGATACTTCTTCCGAACTTCGACATTGACGTCATCCGTATGTGCTCGATGCACAACCTCAACCTGGGGTTGGTGTTCATCGCCAACGGTTCAAGCTTGTGCTTGGGCTTTAACTTCGGCATTCCTGTATTCCGGGTCTGATCTTTTCTGAAATTCAGATTGATTACGGGCTCTCAAAACATATTTCCGAGGTACACGTTAGCAAAAGCCGGCTGGTATGGGGATCCAAATCGCATTGGTGATCCTGCTGAAAATCTCGAAAAGCTTTTCATGACAGCCTATGCCGACTTCAAGGCATGGTTGAAGGAAGTCAAAGTGTACTCTTCCCAGCGAAGGTTCAAATACGGGCTGGTGCCTTGTATTTAACATCGAGCCTAGTGACATGGGTTAAGGGGTCATATTGTCGGGTGATATTTTTGGTTCGCTTTTGCGCTTGGGAACGGAGCTTAGGTTATGAAGAAGAAAGATGGGGGCTTACGAGCGCCCTCCATGAACTGCAAGGCATGGAATGGCCGGATCGTGCTGGAGTATTTGGCTTCGGTTTCACGATTGGCGGTGTTGCAACAGGAAGCTCCCGGGCCCAGTCGCACCTTTGGCAAGTGGCTGGTTGGGCAGGTGCGTGCAAGGGCAGCAACTTTTCCAACGGATCCAAAAATTCCAAAGCAAGCGGTTGCCATGAGTTTTGCCCAAACTCAGTACTTTCGTTTTGTGCTGTCACGTTTGTGCTATCAACTGATGATGATACCGATTTTTTGAAGCCTTTTACCTTTTGGGTTTTAACTAAGGACTGGACTGGCCAGATTTTTCGGTCTCTCCGAGCGATTGCCACGACTCCTGGAAGCAGAAGAAGCGAATCAACTTTATCATGAGGGCATGCTTTTCATCAACACGGCCATGGAGCTCGCCCAGATTTCGGTGAGGTCGGGGTTTCAAGCTTTCCGTTTTCTATGAATCAAATAAGGATTTTGATTAAGCTTGGATTTCGGTTTCCCATTACGAAGGCAGATGGAACTCACTTGGAATATTACACCAAAGACGCATTACTTTGAGCACCAGCTGTTGGAGACAAAGCGAACTGGTATCTTGGCACGTGTTTAGTGGGATAATGTCTACAAGCGATTGGACTTCGGGATTTTTTTGGCACAGCGGCTAAGATATGAATATGAGGTTCCATCACTGCTTCACTGATGAAGATGCAATGCGGTGGACGAAGCTGTTAGCTCGCAAGGCCAACCCGGCCACGTTTGAGCGATCGGTTCTGAAGAAATCGATTTCCAGACTGCGGCGCTGAAAAATCATCGCCGACTGCTTTTCGCAAAGCGCAGTGCGAGAACGCGTGCCAATCGCGATGCCGGCAAAGGCTAGCAACAACAAGATTTCGGCGGACCGAGCTGGAAAAGACTTGCTTCTTACTGCTGTGCAAAAGCTGTAAACTCCCAAGGCCCCGGATTAGCGTGAGCTGAACATGAGTCCTTCTATTTGGCGTCCTCAAACCCAAGTCCCTCAAAACAGCGCCCCCAAGAATACCAGGGTATACACATACATCTCGAGTGCACCTTTCTGTGTTGTTCCTGATGCTGGCTTCAGTTCCATTATTAAATGGCGTGGCCGAATATTCAATGTAAACTGTTCTTGGAGTCGGGTCGGTTGGGCTGGAGAAGTGGTCGATTAACCACACATCCTACATTAATACCTCAATGATTGGCCAGTACAAGGAGCAAGCCTGACCCTGAACTTTTGGTCGCTGTGTAGTCAGCCGTTGGAAGGGTTTGTAAGCAGCTGCATTTCAGTTCCAAACCGTTTTAGAGCCCCACATACATCCCAACATCGTTCATTAAGGCCTTAGGGTACCTGCTGAAGCCCCGAGACGTACGGCCGTGTCCTGAAGCCATAAGCCTTATAAACCATACAACATGAGCCCTAAACCCTTTAATTAATCATAAGGACCCTCAGGGGGTATTCAGGGGCCTTGATACCTATCCTAAGGCTTGTTTTTGAAGTGTAGTCCCCTGCCCCCCTCCCCCCTACCCCCCTCAGGGTCAGTATGACTAAAGCCTAAACCCGAAACCCTTTCAGCCCTAAGGCCTGAAGCCTAAACCCTATAAGCCCTAAACCCTAAAACCTAAACCCTAAACCATATAAGCCCTAGAGCCTAAACCCTAAACCCTAAACAAACGGGCAGTATTGAAGCCACGAGGCCGCTATTTTTGCAGAGACGCACGCTGAGGCGGAGTCGGCTTATGTCTGTTCGTTTTGCGAGGCTACGATTATGAGGGTTTAGGGAGTAGGGCGTTTAGGGGTGTAGGGGTTTAGGGTTTAGGGACAAGGATTTTAGGGTTTAGCGGTTAGGGAACTTAAATTTAGGTTTGGGGGTTTAGGGATTAGGGAGTTTAGGGCTTTGGGGTTTCGGGCCAGGGATTAAGGAGTTTAGGGTTTTAGGGTTTAAGGAGGGTGCCGGGATTAGGGATTAGGGAGTTTAGATTGTTAGGGTTTAGGGGTATGAGAGTTCAAGGTTTTGGGGTTTAGGGATGCCGGCTTAGGGAGTGTAGGGTTTAGGGTTTTGGGATAAGAGAGTTTAAGGTTTTAGGGTCTGGGTACTAGGGAATTTAGGTTTAGGGTTTTAGGGTTTAGGGTTTTGCATCCTATAATATAGGGGGTGAGAGGGGTCACTGGCTGCCGGGTCTTTGATGATTCTTACGGAAGCTCAATTGGTGTTGGGATTTAGGTTTTGCATTTAAATTCCACCCGAAAGCTGCCCACCGGTTTTGTGGTTTTGCTGGATGTTGGAGCCGCAGGGCCGGGGATGTCGACATTGCAGAGTCCACGTTTCAAACATTGCTCTTGAGAGGTTGCTGCATCCCGATTCGTTTGATGCTCAAGGCCCCATGCCGTTTGTACTTCAGGCTAAGAACCCGGAATCTCCCTTGGCAGTAGCAACACCTCCGCGAGGTGACATCAAGCTTCCATTTACCTGCGCTAGTCCTCGAGGTGACTCTTTGTGCAAAGGGGCGGTTGCCGGGTCAGACATGATATACGCGTTTGATGAGAGGATGTGCGTGTTGTTCCGAAGGGTAAAACCGTGCCAACTGTATTCAAGCTTCAGACATTGCGGCAGTAGAACAACCGACAAGCCAAGGCCCTATGTAAACCCAGAGCCCGCAACCCCAAAAGCTTAGGACCTAAACGCAACGACTAAACCCTAAAACCCAAACCCTAGCCCTAAACCCCAAACCCGAAAAAGTGCAAGTTAAAACAAAAAACAAACTAAGCCCTATAAGGCCTAAGCCCAACAGCTGTTGCAGGATGTCGAGGATGGCATCATGGACCCCAAGGCCAGGTAAACAACGTTCACCGTAAAATCGGTGTGCTTAGTATAGAGGGTCGGAAGTATGATCACAATAACTGTGCATAGTATTTATTGGGGTTCCTTGCTTAGCCTTATAATCTAGCAAAAAAATCCCCAAAGCCTTGTTCTAGTTAGAAAGGCCCGTCAATTGGGTCTTCATACTTATTCGAGATGGTGGGAGGCCTGTTCAGGGTTTCAGAATTTCGATGTTGGTGCTTCGTTTGCAGGTTTCAGGATGTCAGTGCGACGAAACAATTTCGAAATCTTTAAAAACCCCTAAACCTTAAACACGTGACCCCCCCCCCGAACCCCAAATCCTGAACCCTAGCTCCCAAAACCTCCAAACCCTAAATTCTGAACCCTAAGTCCCAAAACCTTTAAACCCTAAATCCTGAACCCTAACTCCCAAAACCTCAACTCTGAAGCGAGTCCAAGTGCCGCACACCAGGAGCGGCAGGAAGTCTTGGCCTCTTTGGGCTTCCGATGCCTACAGTTTGACTACACGCAGCCTCCATTGAGTCGGACCCTTAGGATTACCCAGAAACTCCAACATCCCTTAATTCAGGAATGCCTAGACCTAGGGTTCCTTCCGCAGTTTTGTTTTAACAGGGTTTATGGGACTCCAAAATTTGTCTGATTAAGGGATGTCCCTTAATCATATTAGGGGTCGTACGTAATTTTTTCAGGGATCTTGGAATGACCTGAAGGATTCGGACCCTAAGGATGACCTTAGGGTTCAGGGTTTAGGGCCTTAGACTAAGGGCCTAGGGTTGTTAAGGGTATGGATGACCTCAAAGTTTAGGGTCTTAAAGAACTAAACTGCCCAAATACTGTTGTTGGTTGTAATGGTAGGTTGTTTGCTCGTTTCTTTCTTTGAACAGGGAGGGGCTGGAAAACAAGTAGATTGTCGGAAGGGAGGTTTAGGGTTTAGGGTTTAGGGTTTAGGGTTTAGGGTTTAGGGTTTAGGGTTTAGGGGGGAGTTCAAGGCAGGCTCCTTTTTTGATCTTCAAAACCAAGGAGGGTCCCCACACGCACTGAGGCTTTCATTAGCAAACTGCCTCATAGGCAAAGGGTGCGGAGTTTCATTGGGTTTCGGATTTGCACTCCCCAAACCCTAATTCCTAAACCCGAGCCCCAAACCTTAAACCCTAAGCCCTATAAACCCTAAACCCCAAGCCCTGTGCTGTCAGAGTTTCGAGCTGGGGCCGGGATTCGGGGTTTGCTGCTGCTTCGCGCTGTAGAGTTGGTGGCTCTCGGGCCCGTTTCAGGCATGGGAGGGTTTAAGGCTTAGGCCCTACACTACTTGGGATTTAGGGTTGAGAGGGGCCCAGAAGACCTGAAGTACGGGGTTCGGGGGTTTAGGACTTAGGGTTGAGAGGGGCCCTGAATGTGTCCTGGGATCGCGCTCACAAGGGTCCTCCTACCAAGAATACTTCTGTTTGTGTGATTCTTTGGATGCGTGTAGATGTCATGAAGTTTTACTGTTACTACCCTATTCAGACAGCATCGTAGCTTAGGAATCCAGCGAAGGGGACCGCTATTGTGAAGTTTAAGGATTTAGTGGGAACGTGGCCATCCTAAACCTTGAAACCAAACCCTAAAACCTGAACCCTAAACCCTAAAACCCTAAACCCTGAACTCTAAACCCACCCCCGCCGTAAAAGAAACAGTAATGCAAGGGCCTATGGTGATTAGAATAGGGTTCTGGGGCCCATTATACTATAGTTCTATCAAGATACCCCGACAATAGTACAGAAATCCATTCAGGCCCCGAATTTAGAGCCTTACCATAAAT